CAAAACTCAACAATAACACATCCATCACACACACACACACACACGCACAGCCGGACGAGCAGTGCAGAGTCATCGTGTAGCATGACAGAAAAAAGCAAATAAAGTTTTATTCTAATGTAATAAGAAGCCTTTATACAATAAAAGGAATTTGCTGTCTTCCACAATCTTGTGAAAATCCAGTCATGTCTGGACATTTTCTCCTTAAGTCTGGATTTAACTCCCATATTGATATCTCAGTGTCCTTCTTACCACATAGATAAGTAGCGTCCTCGAATAGATGCGTAACCTGCGATTTAAGAAGTGCAGAGTGTGCGACGTTCACTTTTTGGATACATAACCACGTTTGTTTGTTTTCTGCTCACTTGAACACGCAAAAATCCAAGCTAGGTTTGGCTGATGTTGACAAAAATCTGATTTTGCATTTTCTTCCCCTCACAGATCTTTGTATTGACATGTGTTAATTATACAGTTTAAATTCAGCGTGTCGATATATATCGGGTGCGACTGTTTTCAGAAGATATTTAGTGTTATACATTGTAATTAAATGTACAGCCCGCCTTCACCGGGGATGTTGCCTTGTAATCAGTGTTGGAGCGCTGGAACTTCTTTGGCAATGACATTGCCCGGCTTTCACCTGGTGTACTTATACATTTTGACAGTATTATAATTTAAAGTCTGTATGGCAGTAAATCCCCTGAGACCTCTGGTTAACAGAGCGTAGAGACAGAGAGGCCGACAGACAGACACACAGACAGACAGGTTACCATGGTTATCAGAGCAGAGACGAAAGAATGGAAGGTGATGAACCTGAGTAGATGTGTGTGTGTATGTGTGTGTGTGTGTGTGTGTGTGTGTGTTGCAGCCATAGAGCCGAAGGCAGACAGTCATTGTGTCCTTTGTCATTCAGTGAATCTGAAAACTGAACCCCGTCTTAAGCCAGCCCTCTCCATTTCTTTGTTGGTATCTCTCCTCATTGTTCAACATAAAAGGCAAGAGAGAAAAAAGTGTTATCGGTAGCCAAAGTCTCAGTCGTACACATGATCAGATTCTCCCAAGAAATAATTTAGATCTTTAGTAAAAGTTGCTCTGACAGCCAACACAGACGGTGAGGACCCATACAAATCTAAAAAGAAATGCTCGTGTCGTTCTTTGTTGCTGCTTCCTGCATTATTTAGTGAAAGCAGGGCTTAAACGCTTTCAAAAGATGTTTTCTATAATATGCAGAATGTATATAATAATGTTTCAAAATGTGTTTAGGAATATTATTAAATTTAGTTTAAAGGTGCGCAATACAAAATTGAGAACATTCATCCACGGCTCTCAACATGGCGATGGCTGAGCCAGTGGCTCGCAGCTAACAGTGCCAACAGAGCTAACAGTGCCAACAACACTAACAGTGCCAACAACACCAACAGTGCCAACAACTCTAACAATGGCAACAGTGTTTACCTGAGGGCTGAACCTGGAGGGCGGGTGCTACGCTTCCCTGACAGGATGGCGTTATCAGCTGTAACCGCCGTATGAGCGCAGTGCGGAGCAGTGGCTGTGAGCTGCGAGTGGGGCACACTCACACGCACACGCACACGCCACCGGCCAGGCTATGCAAACAAAGCAAGGAGAAGCTCGAATAACAACACACACAGAGGGAAAGTGACTTCATTCTCTGCTCAGGTAGACATTTCTTCACTATATCTTTACAAGACAACTTTTCTGCTTCACCAACAAGTTCTTAGCAAGGTGGAAAGAGGTGGAACTGGCACATACCAAAACATGTGGTGACTCTTGGAATGAAGTTCCCTTTTGAACCCCCTCGTGATCCTGTGAATCAGACACACAGAGCTGATGGGAAGCTTAAGGTAACATGACAGTATTAAAGATTGCACAGTCTCCCACACGTATTTGTATCTGGTTGGAGACTCTTCCAGGTTGTGGATCAAAACCCAGGAATACACAGGATGTTGGCTTGATTTTCTGGCAGAAGCATCCGGCAGTAGTTTAAAACGGTGTGGAGAAGGACCATGAAAAATATGTTCATCAAGGCAACGTGTTTGATCTTGTATTAACGCCTTAAATAAATATATAATATAATATATACATATTTTTATACTGAAGTCTGGCTACAGGATTTCCTGTCTTGGCCTGATGACATGGCAACATGTAGTTGGAAACATTTGCATCGGAGGATAGATCCAGTAAGCATTAGTGTAGATATGGGGCCTTTGAATGCTGATACTGTCTTTTAGAGCTTTTCCCTTTGCCCACTATCAGACTTAAAATTTGGACTTATCCAAAAAGTGAGGCTTAATAACTGAAAAGCTGTTGATACAACATGAACAGAACAGTTTTACCCAGAGTTCTTCTTTTTAAGACAGATGCATTGAGATTATTGTGATTTATGTGTGCCCCCATACTTTATGGTGGGTGACATATAATTGACATTATGATGGATGAATTGATGGGTGCAACTTGCATACAACAACATAAACTGCAACACTCCTCTTAATATCTTAATTTGACACGTGTGTTATTAACATTTACTTTTTGAGATCAGATCCATAACTTACTTTTGTCTACTGCTATTTAATATGCTCGAAGCAGATTTTTTGACAAACACAACCTGGATATCTAATATTTTTGTTCTTACAGTGAGAACTTTTCTGTTCTGAAAACACTGTTATGGAAATCTGGACTCCCGCAGAGGTTTTAGATTCTCAGATATTATTTCTGAGAGGTTTGGAAGGCATGCGTTTGACTGAGCTTGTATGTTGTGAGTCCTCGTGTGAGAATGTGTACACATGTGTGAGAGAGACTTTGGGTGTCTCAGATGTTCTTCACAGTTCATCAGTGTTGACATCTGGCCCAACAGCTGGACTCATCTGGACACACACACACACACACACACACCGTCCACACTTTCACAAGTGCTTCTCTGTATTTTTAATCTTCCCTTCCTGTCTGTCTGCTTTGTGTACAGTTGCTGTACATTTCTGCGTCTCTGTGTTTATGTTTGTGTATCAGTGTATACTATTGTTTAACTGTAAAAGCTTTTGACCTTAAAGCAGGACTGGGATGTGTGACGTGTCATTATACAGGACGTGCATGTATTTGTCTCTGTGTGTGTTTGCCAGACAGGAAATGTGAACCATGTGCACAGTATGTTGAGCATTCCAGTACTTTAAGTCCAACAAGTTTGTCATTCACTGAGACTAATGTGCTTTTGTTATGGGAACAAAAAAAGAGTCTGCTGGAAAAAAATACCCCCACTCGTGTGCAGTCTCATGGTACAGGAGCTACTTGAGTCACACATTTTGTAGCATGTGTAGGGATGCACCGATCCGACTTTTTCAGTCACAGTTCCGATTCCTGGGCTTTGGGTATCGGCCGATATCCAAGCCCTCTCCCGATACCAGTGTTTGATTAATACGCTCTATGTCTCTTTGTGTGGAAGTGACTGGGATCATTCTTTATGAGCAAGGCAGCATTTGGCCTTTCCAGTATACTGTACAATGTGTATAGTATATAAACACAGAGCTGAACTCAATAGATTGGCTCCAGCTATTTGAGTCAGAATCGGCCTGATATCCAATATCGGTATCCGTGCATATGATACATGACAAAATGATCTTTTTCTAAATTATTTTCATGCCTTCATGTATTATTAATATTGTGTATTACTATACCTGTGCATGTTATATTATTTCATTGTAACATAGATAGATACTTGTCTTCTATGATAGTAAACTGAACATCTTTGGGTTTTGGACTATTGCTTGGACAAAGCAAGCTTTTTTTAATTTCAACTTGGGCTTTGAGAAATTGTGATTGTTCACTGTTTTCTGACATTTCATTGTACCAATGATTCGTTAATTGAGAAAATAAGTAGCGAATAACAAGATAATTGTTAGCAACAATAGCAATTTCTGGCACTGCGGCAAATGTTGCCGGGATTACAGTACACATGTTATTTTTCTTAGGGTGGTAGGAGAAGAGGTGACTGCAGCACACTCCCCTCAGTTGTAATCATATGGCTCCAAGAGTTGAATATCATTTTCATGGACCACCCATAAGGGCACTGGGGAGGAAAACAAAGTAATCTTTGCAAATATTATTGATGGCTTCCAACAATATCTTGGAAAATAATAAAAAATCTGTGTACTTTGCAGTGTTTTCCATAATGTATGCTCTCTCCAAGTTTATATTCTGCTCCAGCAGTGAAAAATATCCGTGGACAGGAAATGAAAAAAAAAATAGCTTGAGCAACATAATGCAAATGAATAGTCCTCTGATGTAGTAGCAACACGCTGCCCAAAGTCTGCACAGTTGAAAGCTGGCCAAAACCTGTTGTGTGCTTCTTTTATCTAAAGATAAAGTGAATATGGTTCTCGCTGTCTATGAGGGGCAAAAGATGTCAAGTGCAGTAGACTGTACCCAAAATGAACACACGTGGATGGTATAAAACACCTGCCCTCCCCCTCATGTTCCACACTAATTACTCATAACCTCAGAACAGTGACAAGCGCTCACTGGCTCACTCGGAACAAGACGACACAGAGAAACTGACATCATTTTAATGATTTTAAATACAAAAACCTGTCTGCAAAGCACAGTGTGCTGGGTGTTCCTAATACTGCTTTTTAGCAATTTAACACATTTTTTGCTTTGAAGAAAGTCTGACCTGTTTTGAACTACTCTTAATGGACTTGGACCTGTGATTAGGGATGATCTGACTACACAAATAAGCAGAACTTTGCTGCAATATCTTTGTGTATTCACATGTCAAGCTTATATACTGTATACGTACATCTTTGTGATGTGCGATGGGTTTAATGGGATTGTACATTATGGTTGTTTGCGTTCAATCTCACAGCCATTTCCCAGAATATCTGACTTTTAATATTCCGCTCAATCTATATGTCTGCCAGACGTCAGTACGAATACAGGCAGCTGTTTTTTGTTTCAGCATCTGTTTCTGTATGTAATCGCCTCCGTCTTCTCTCCAGGACTGTTCCCGGCGGTGTTGAACCTGGCGTCCATGGCAGACATCTCCGCTAATGCAACCTGTGGTTCACAGGGTCCAGAGATGTTCTGTAAGCTGGTGGAACATGTACCAGGCCGGCCTATTAGAAACCCTCAGTGTCGAATCTGCAACCAAAAGAGTACACAACCACTTGGTAAGAACACACACAAGCTTTATGGGCAGGCTGATTACAATAATGAATCATGCAAGATTAGTTAATGAGTGCCAGAATGGCCAGGTGTTAACTAATCATTTTGTCTAAAAAGATAATTGACAAATGAACTCATCTCAACATGACAAGACGACAATACAAAATGAGCCTGCGATCATAATTCAAACAGCCAGCTAGACAGTCGGTTATTTAGTCAATCTATGATTCAGTTAACCTCGTACAACCAACCAATCAGTTTTTCAGTGAAGCAGTCCATCATTAACCAGCCAATGAGTCAGCTAATGAGTCCAGTTAGCTTTAGTCAACCAGGATGAGAGGAATAAAAGAAGGACGGGATGTAATGCTGCAAAAAGGGGATGAGGAAGGAGAGAAGGAAAAGCTTGGAAAGGTTGAGATGGAAAATGAAGAGATGAACTGAGACAAAACTGGTGATTTCAAAACACTGCCGTCTCCAATAATACTAAAACCCAAGACTTATTTATTTTGAATGATCAGCTGAATGACTGACTGACGAAGCTCTGGACACAAGAGACAGTTAGCCTAGCTTAGCATAATGGACGCAAGGTGAATTGGCTAGCTTGGTTCTGTCCGAGTGTAAAACATTCTGCCCTTCAGGACCGCCAAAGCAAAGAGAAATAGGACTAAAGAATAAGGGTAGAGGAAGAATGCTGTTTAAAAAAAGCAGAGGAATGTCTTTTATCAAAGGCTATGTAGCGCTCTCATGTTGCTATCAATAGTTGCCATGGTTTTTTAACAGAAATGTCACACATAAGTATCCCGGTGATTGGCAGCTGCAAGTCAACCTGAAACACCACGTCTTCACTTAAAATACGCTCTCACACACATGTAAACACCAAACACAATCCCATACACGCTGTATCCACAAACGTTCTGCACAGTGGCCTTTGCTAAGTGATGATATCTTCTCTTCTTGTTCCGTCAAAGCTATTGTGTGGAATAGTAACAGGGGCCAGGAGTAGATTTGTTTTGTTTTTTATTCAGAAGAGAAATATAATCATCTGAAATGGAAAGGAAATCTATTATTCTTTCTTCTTTGACAAGGTAGAAGAATGTCCTTTTGATATCTGGCCTTGAATGGTTAAAATGCTAGAATTTTATAAAAAAAAACAGTGGAGAGGAACATTTTCCCCTTAATGCTGGATTCAAGACTAAAATGATTTTTCTTCCTGTTTCTATCTTTCTCTATTTCTGTGTGTGTGTGTGTGTGTGTGTGTGTGTGTACAGAACAACACCCCATAGAATATGCCACAGATGGGACGAACCGTTGGTGGCAAAGTCCCTCTATCAAGAATGGAATGGAGTACCACTATGTGACTATCACTCTGGACTTAAAACAGGTAACAGAGACACACGTGACAAAACAAAAGAATCAAAACAGTAAAACCAAAATTCTTTCAAAAGCTTTTAAACGTTTTAAGGTTAAAAGGTGTAAATAAATACCAGCCTTATTATAGCTTCTGAGATATAATAAGAGGTGATGTCTCTTTTTTCTTAAAATTATAAATGTAATTCCTTTTTGAGTTACAAACAATTGAACTAAGTGTTGACAAAATATGTTTGGGCCATCAAATGCACACAACATTGGTCCCAATACTGCCTTTCTTTTTAAATACCCAAACTCATCAAAAACACCTCATTTGACATGCATCAATCGATGCTCCTATGGTGCACTATATTTGAGGAAAAGGCAATATTTTTGTATTTTAGATACCCCTTGTCTTTCAAATCATTGACATGATATGAAAGATAGATAGAATCGCTCTGTTGGAGTTGTTGGGACAACAAAAACACTCAGTCCACTCACACTGGTACAGTGGTGTTACTGCGCAAAGCTTGCCTTACGTCATGAACAATCTTTGGCTGAGTACAGAAACATTCAAAAGTTGTAACAGCTTGTCGTTTTAACCAATGAATGCAACAGCAGTATTCTTATTATGATTACTTTTATTCCTTTTAGCTCTCTCCAAACAGGCACATAAAACAACAGCTTTGGTCGCTGAGTCCTCATTTGACGCTAAAAACTTGAAACAAGCTTCATTCTTGTTTCAGGAGCGTGAAATGCTTGCAGCATCAAAGCAGTTTGACCCTTTAGATCTGCTGTCCAAGTAGATTTTTACGGACTGTCCTCAATCTTCATAACAATTATCTGTAAATTCTTACCGTATTAAGTGTTTATTTTTTTCCAAAATCCTCCTATTTGCTTCTATATGTTAATCCTAACACTTCCTGCCACCATGTTGCTTCTCTGTCAAGATGTTGCTCCCATAACCACAGTCCTCTTAGATTACATAAACACACCAGCCTGCATGTTGTCAATCCAATTGTAATTAGAGCAATTAGTTAATCATTTAAACAATGTTTCATTGTTCTGTCATCCAAAGAATTAAGCTACCGACTATTATTTCAGCAGTGCTGAAATTGGTTGAACTAACCTGGCTATCAATCATTTTATAAGCATGCGTGTCACTCTTTAAATAATTGGTTTTCATTTTTGATTTGGAAGGCTTGGCAGGAATATCGGTGATTGAGGGGCTGTGTACTGGCATGGGATGATTTAGGATATCTAGTTTAGTTTAGAAGTGCGATTAAACAGATTACAGCGCCAGAGAATAATTATATGGATGTCTTGAGAATAAAACTAATGAGGGTGAGAGACTTTAGTTCACGAGAAGCCCTCGGTTCATTAAGACAAGCCTTTGAAAAATTGCTTTTACAGTTAAAACAGATTCATTTTGGAATAAAAAGTCCAATATTCCAAACAAAAATGCCATAATTAAAACAAAAGCCTGAGGTAACACACATTAGCAGGAACTCAATAACTACTTTGACACCTCATGTAAATGCATATCGCTCAAGCAGAATGTGCCATTCACAATTTTGTCAATAAAAGTACAATTTTGTGATCTCAAGCTCACACTTCTGTTTGAACATTATGAGAATAAATCAGGTTTTTTCTCAACCGACTACAAAATAGCATCATCTTCAAACTCTCACATCCTAAAAGAATTAAAATGGCACAACATTTGAAAAATTGAAGTATGCCTCATAATGAAACAACTGTGAGACTATCAACATCTCTTTCTTTAATCTGTTTCTTTGTCAGTGTAAGTTTAAACAAAACAAGACCAGAAATTACAATATAAAAACAAAGCTTTGAATCCTGTCTTTGGGATTTAAATACTAATGGAACAACTGACTATTGGAATATTTCTGGTCAGCCTCCTATTATTCATATTGCGTTGAATTAAATTCAGAGGCAGAGAGAGAGAGAGAGAGAGAAGAGAGAGAGAGAGAGAGAGAGAAAGAGAGAGAGAGAGAGAGAGAGAGAGAGAGAGAACAGAACAATAGAAGATGCAAAAGAAGCAAAACTGAGGTGAGCTTTATATATTTTTTTGCCAACCATCACATACGTAGAATATAATTATATCTCTGGACAGGAAGTAGAGCAACGCCATCTTGACATGTAAATGACTTCAGGCCCATCAATCACACCTTTCACCACTGTGGTGTGGCTGCAGAATATATATACGGTACACTCCTAAATGGACTCACAAACACGCACACACACACACGTTTCACACCTGTCACCAGAGGGAAATGGCCGATGAATGCATCTGCCTGGTTACGCACCCACACTCTCTCACTCACTCGCTTCTGACCTTCATATTAGTGTGTGGAGCAGGAGGCTGACATGTACGCACACCTCCACACACACACTATTCTTGCTCTTATCCACAGTCAAATTTGCATATGTGCAGAAAAAGGAATGGAAAAAAATTATTATAAAGCTCACAGCTGGATGCGGAGTCTGAAAAAAAAATCCTGCTCTTGTTCCATTTGTCATGAGCAGGTTCTTTAAAAGCTTTTTAATACCAGCGTGCTTTTTCCCCAATGAGCACCTACTGAGCCATCTCAGCTCTAACAGTCCTCTTGTATGATGGCCATGTTTGACGTGCTCTCAGCAATGTGTGAAAAGTGAAAACGCTGTCCATCTTACTCTACGGTAGAAATGGATAAAGTTTTCATTTGGCTGAGCGCTCCTTATTTATTATCATTTGGGCCGTACCCAATCAGAATTGTTTTCTTTGTATCGATTTGGCTGTTCAATACGAAGATTGGACTATTAGTTCCTTTTTGTCTCTCTGCGGCGGTACGCTGCGGCCGGCTCTTGGTCGGCTTGGAAAGGCCCTGGGGTCGATGTTTCCAGGGGCCCGTGGACTTCATGCTCCCTGCGTCCTCTGTGTGCGTGGAGGGAAGGTTCCTCTGCACCCGGCGTGGCCGTCAACCTGGCGTACTAATCGACTTTGGCATCCCCAATTGTCATATTTGCTGTTTCCCCCCATGAAAAATAGATGGTTTACTGTTACAACTCATTCAGTATACCAGATATATTAAGTGATGGAGGTTTATCTGGATGTTGCACCATAGCACAACGTGAACACACAGGGCCAGACATTTTTTTTTTCATTTTTCAGGCAAATAATGAAAAAATTGTTCCGACAAATTCTAGATATATTCTCAAATGTCTGTTTCCTTTCATCAAGTAACTCTCTGTATATTACTTCAATCAATTTTGTATTGATCAAAGTAACAGTAGATCGACCTCACGCCTGAATTGCAGTGATCGACCGTAGCCATTAATGTCTGTGTGTTTGTGTGAACACGTGCATACTTCAGTGGGTGTTTTGTGTGTGTGTACACACACACACACACACACACACACACATGTGTGAGTCTCGATCAGTCCAACGGAAAGCTTTTTACCCTCCAGTGCGCTGAATTTCCCCTGCGACCTCAGTCATCTCACTCAGAAAATAACGGTGGGCTTGCGTGTTTGTTTTTGTGTGTGTGTGTGTGTGTTTGTGTGTGTGTGTGTGTGTTATCGCCTGTGACATCACCACCCTCATTTCCGCTGTTGTTATTGTTGAGCCTCTCTGGATGGAAAGACTAAATAATGAGAAAGAGTGGGAGCTGAGGGTCCATGTGTGCTAGTGTGTGTGTGTGTGTGTGTGCGCGTGTGTGTTAGAGAGAGCGAGAGAGAGACAGACAATTGAAGTCTGTCTATGTTCTTTATTATTTTTAGATTAATTCTTCAATTGTAATTTTGCATCTGCCTTGACAATTAAAAGTGTTCTGCAGAGACGTTCTGCAGGTTATTTTTAAGGTTTCATTTACAGGTTTAAACAGGTGTACATTTTTTTTTCTAATTATTGTGTTGTTATACTTTCAGTTATTCCATATCAAACAAAAGTTTCCCAGCTGTGCGTTACCAACGTTTGAAGCATTGAGTTGCCTTGTAATGTATGTTTGCATGTAAATTAGTAAATTACTCATTAATCTATTGACACTACTTCACCATGAGGGGTTAAACTTGCCTCGTCGTGGCGACAATCTGTTGTCAGCTTCAGAGGTTAAATTGCAGTTATTATGGAAATGCAGCAGCCAGTTTTATTGATGGACAGTTTGTCCGTCGTGGTCAAATCATGCGCCGGCTCTGCTCTCTGGGGGCGGGAGGAGAACCTGGCAGAGTGATTGGGGACCTGAAAGAGGCTGTCAGTCAAAGTGCTGTCGTTACCAACCGCTCTTAAATACCGCAACATGCGAGTGGTGCAACGCTTCCTCAAGCCCACGGATTTCAGTTTTTGGGGTCACGGTTCGGTTTGTTTTGCACATTCAGGAGAAAAAAATAAATAACAAATGTAAAGATTACATATTTATATATTATATGAAGCCTTAACACTACACACTACACTATCTTATACACAAAATACATGTTTGCTGCTATATTAATGCTCATAATGTGGTATATTGCACCATTCCTTCCAGATGGAACTGGGACACTTTCTAAACACATGACGACACGGGGCATTGAGAAAATGACGATACTGACCTTATAATTAGCAGCTCTTTAAAGAGACCACGAGAATAAATATAGAGGGAAAAGTAATTGGAGTTCACAGTTCAGGGAAATTCTGCTTCTCGATAGTTTCCTCCATTGTTTTTGTTCGATTGACTGACTTCCTGTAACTGCTTTGTCACAATTAGCCTCACCCATTTCAACATTAACTACATTACAGTCAGTTTTACGCGCCTCAAAATGACGCAAACATCATTAAAAATCCTATTTTCAGGTACACGGTTGGACATGAACAAACAGACCGATAAACCGGCCTATGACAGTACTATACTATTAATTTACATTTATTAGAATATCCAGATCACTGAATATTGCAGCTTTAAACCTCCACTCTCATCACATTCCAATTCACCGCAGTCTAGAGTCATTGTCCTGCTCAAGGACACCTTAATAAGGCAGACGCTTGAGCCTGGAGTCCCCCGGTTCTCAAAATCAGTCGTTATGAGGATTCAGTGAACCTTTACCTATCATAGTTATAGCTTTATAGCATATTTTTATGCTTGGATGAAAATGGCGTATACATCTTACATGAGACATTTTGTGTGCTAAACATTTCCCATTGTAAACCATAGGAAACACATCTTAAACTTGGATAAAGTCTTCCTTTACTTTGTACTTTAAAATAATAATTAGGAACATGAGACATATATGGACAGAGCTTTTAGCGCCAGAAAAAATATCTTTATTCATAACAGAGAGAAGGTAAATGAAACATCTGCTGTACCCAATGAAACTTTGTTGGTCTGTGTTTGACAGTAGCTCGGGCCAAAGCAAGAATGTGGGAGAGATTGCAGCATCTGGTGATTTGTGCGGACTAAAGCCTATTTAAAAAGCTTAAGGCTAAATTACGACCAAGTCTGTGAGCGAGCGTGTTTGTGTGTGCATTTGTTCTACTTGTGTGTGTAACTGTGTTTTTTGGCAGTTCAGACAGAGAGGCGGACTTAAAGAGAATAGGTCTCGATTGGCTGTTTCACACCAGGACATTTCTCAGATTTATCCAGAGGCTGTTGTCTAGATATGCTGCACTCCACTGTCTCTTTTAGAAAATGTGAAAAACACAATCATTTGTCTGTTTTTTAACTGCAATTTGGTTAAAAATTGAACTTTATTCTAATGTGTTTCCTGCAGATCTGTCATTCAAAAATACTGCAGCATCTCCTTAAGTTGTTTTTAGTGGCAGCTCAGCAGAGCGATCTTTCGACGAGATGACTGTGTGGCTCCAGTGAATATCTCCTGCTTGGTTGCCTGCGCTGAGCGTGGCAGTCGGGGAGGCTGGATGATTCGCACTATTTAAAACTGGGCCACAGGCAACTTTATTAGTCCAGTGAGATGTTAACACATTTTCTCTTGAAGTGACAGTCAATTTTAACGAGACTGCAAACCGGGTCTGTTGCTCTGACGGCATATCCACCTGTGTGTCAGTATGTTTGTTTAGGTCTAAATCCCATCTCCCCATCTCATTCTGATCTTTTTCCACTTTGTTTCTGATCTGTCTTTTAGTGTTTTTTGTGTGCAAACTCTGCTCTAATTAGCTGCAGTACTAACTGGAATTGGGCTTTGATGCCAGTTTATCTGGCCAGATAAATTTGAACATGTTGCCATGTAAACACCAGCTGTTCAGTAAAACCACTGTCACTGTGTTTCCAAATCACGCTCAGACAAAATGGGATTCTTCACAGTCCATTTGATTGTGGGCAACCCAGCCATACTGGACACGGGGCTTAAATGGACTGATTGAGCATTAAAATAAACATTTTAAGTGCACATTTGGCTGCTACGCTCCAATATATGCATAAAGTCATTCCCTGGCATATCATAGACTATTTCCTGTTAAATGTGTAAGATTACTCACATAAAATGCTTGAGAACTCTTTGGAAATTAATATTCATTTGTTTGGTTTGGAGTATTCAATTCACTGGTGAGATGTAAAAATAGAGGACGCTTGTCATATCTGGAGATAAACACAGTTTTGTTGCCTTTATAGACTTGTGAATAATTTGCGCAACTCCTCTGCAATAACAACACGTCTATAATGTGCAAAATAGAACTTATCAAATTAGTCAGTGATATATTTTGGAATCATGTAATTATTTATCAGTGCAACAGTCTTTAAAAGACTTCAGTTGGACTTTACAGGGTTTAAGCAGATGAGCTTTGTGCTCTCCTTTTAGACTAAACCACTCAAAAGAGAGAATTTTTTCGTCTATGTTTATATTTATAGCCAAACACATTTTTTTATTTTACTCTCTATTGGCATAAAGTAGTTATGTCAGCATTGTGTCACAGGCTAATAATATTCCTTATTCTACAATACCATTTCTAACAACAAGCTGTCTGTGATTTGTAAGCTATAGTTCGTAAGATAAGTTTATTGAGATTGTGTCTTCGTGGTCCTGCGAGCTCAACTGTCAATAAAAGACGTGTGACTCAGCCACTTCGAGGCTTGAAGGCTAAAGGAGAAATTCTGATACAGGCTATTACCAAAAATTGTAAATTGATTATGAAATAAAGAATATGAATATTTAATACGAAATCACATTGGCATCATTTTTGACATTTATTTAGTGAGGTATGCCTTCTTTCACCAGTGAGATAACATCTCATGTGCTTCATTCTAACCTGCATTAGCAAGGTCTCAAATGTAACCTGATGAAACTTGCAGACACCTTGCGAGTTTGAGTTTATAGTTTAAGCTCAAATTTCCCAAACCAGCAGAAAAAAATTAAAGATGAGTAAAAAAAACTCTGTTTGAAAAGTGAATCTTGCCAATTAAATGATATACCAAAGGCTGATAACATGTCAGGATGTGGACTCATCATAAACTTACCAGACATTAAATGTCACAGATGCAAGATAAACATTCATTAACGAGCCCTGTGAGTTCTTGCAGGACAGTTATTGGTGTGTTCATTTGGTGACGCTGTGTCACACTTTAGAGGCAAAAGATATCTCCCGTCTGATCCCAAATCTGATCAAAACATAGAATGTGACACTGCAGACCTACACACAAACACACACACACACACACACACACACACACACACACACACACACACAGGTACATTGCATTAGTTAGCTGTGTTCATCTATGTTTAGCTACTGGAGCTGCCGAGCTGTCTCAAAGCTGTCACCATATTACAAGATACTGCTGAGAGCTCTTTTACACTCACACACACACACACACGCAAACACACACACACACACACACATATAAAGACACACCATCTGACCTCGGTGGGAATACAAGTAACATTGGCTCTTTGTAGGGGGTTTGAATGACTGCTATAAGGTTACCCTGAAATACACTTTCTCTCTCTCACACACACACACACACACACACACACACACACACAGTAGCTTTCTCCCTATTCTAATTGCTGCAATGTGACACTTGCTTCCCACATCACGAGAAGAAAAAGGGATATGCTCCGAGAGAAAGGATGGGGTGAAAGACAGGGTGGTGGAGAGAGACAGGGAGTCAGCATTTGACCTACATCCAATGTTTGTCTGTCTGTCTGTCTGTCTAGGTGGTGATCAAACTGAAGGGAAAGTCGGTCTAAACACAGATATTTGGATTTTAATTGACAATCAGTTTTCATTTTGAATATTAATAAGCTGCACATTAAAAAACCTCAATGCCCTCTACTGTATGTACAGCCTATGTACACTGCCATCAGAAAATCCCATAATGTAACATAACAAAAGCTCTCTGATACAATCCCACAATGAAATGTGCTGCAGTTGTGCGGCATTCCATCTGTCAGCGATGAACCAAAATGGTTGGTTGGTGTCCAAAATCTCAAGTAACTGCTCACTATAGAAAAAAACAACAGCGTCCTTTATATATACAGTGGAGAGTGAGAAAACAAGGGAGTGATTTCAGACAACAGCTATAATATCTGTGTGAATATCTGTGTTTGTAAAGGGAGTTCAAACCATGCTAATTCCTTTAAACGGTCCAATTATTTGTTTTGCTGAAAGTTGTCAAAAAGGAAACGTACTGATGTGAACTCGATTTTGTGTCAGCAGTCCAATAAAACTTAGGTGACAGCTTGAACAATTGTTAGGTCTGCCATGATGATGGGTATAAATTGAGCATTGAAATGAAAAAAACAAAGTGTGATCATTGAAAGTTTTTTCCCGCTTGTAACTGTGTACTACATGTAGACGTGCTTTTCATTCATTCTATCCTCTCTGTGTTTTCCAGGTTTTCCAGATCGCCTATATGATCCTGAAGGCAGCCAACTCACCTCGCCCAGGTCAGCATTCTGCTTCATAGTCTGTATTTAAGCAGCGCACACTGCTTCAGGTGTTAACATAACAACAACTATGTGATTAAAATGCCAGCTAGAGACTTATTTTCAGTATCTGTCTTATGAATAGTTCAATACAGATATTAAAGCCTTTTGATTACATGATCCTCCCACAAATAGTAATTTGACAGCTTTAGATTATATCCAATAAATTGCATTTTTACTTTAAAATCTTGAATGGTCATTATGTGCCGATTTTTCTTTAAATGTTAAACCCCAGCATCCAATACATCAAGATCCTGAGAACTTAGTGTCTGTAAATGCTACTGTGCTTTGCTCTTCTTCATTCACTTCATTTATAACGTGTTATCGTGTTACAAAGACAACGTAAAACAAGATGTTTTTTAATGTCAAAAACATATAAAAGATATAAGAATACAATCTTAACTTTTAAATTAAAATGCATAAAGATGGTCAGATTTTATCAGTCAGCTAATGTTAATTTTTAAATACAAAAGAAGACAACTGGCAAACCCTGATAGTTGCATATAGTTTGTATTCTGTTTAGTGCTGTGTAATTTTCCTATTTAGTTTTTCCATCAACTGGACTGTCCTCACTTCACATTTAATCAATCTAGGTGTAATATCACAGTTTTAGTTTAAGCTTGAGAAATTCAATGGAATTGAATGTTCTGTCAATTTTCTATGTATTTTAAGTAGGGTGACCCAAGCAGAATCTTGGATGCCCATCATCATTTCTTATTGATCTTTTCTCCACATCACACGTTTTAAGCTTTTCATCATTATATTCCTCACTAATATTTTTGTCCGCAGGTAATTGGGTCTTGGAGCGTTCGATAGATGGTGTGACCTTTGATCCCTGGCAGTACTACGCAATCACAGACACAGAGTGCCTGACAAGGTTCGACATTAATCCACGGACTGGACCTCCATCCTACACCAGAGATGACGAAGTTATCTGCACATCTTTTTATTCAAAGATTCACCCTCTGGAGAATGGAGAGGTAACACGTGTAGCTGTAGACGTTGTTGCACTGCCACTGTGATCGTTGGTAGAGTTGGGTTTGGTTTTGGGTTGATTTGGATGGTGTCAGTGGGTTAGGGTTATCTCAGGTTAGGATGGAGTGCGTTTGGTTAGGTTGGAAGATTCTGATTGGGTGTGTAGAGTACAATGATTTGCATTATGCTAGGTCTAGGTTTTGGGTTGAGCTGGGTTGATCCAGGATGAATTGGGTTAAACTGGGTCAGGTTGAATCTAGCAGCAGTCCTGCATTCAAAATGTTTCTTAAGTAAAAGTCCAGCAAAATAGACTTAAAGTATCAAAAGTAAAAGTGCTCATCATGCAGAATGGCTCCTTTCAAAGCATCATAGAATATTATGCTATTCTGTTTTTATCACTAATGAATGCTTTTATTAGCATTCAAATGTTGCCATTGATTACAGCGGAGTCAATTTAACATTTCCTTGTATACTACTGGGTAGATTATTAACAGCCTATAGTACTGCATCATATCATATCAGCAAGTCATGTGTTTTTTAATGTACAAAGTAATTAGTAGTTATAAGTAACAAATACATGTAGTGGAATAAAAAGTACAATATTTACCTCTGAAATGTATTTCAGTAGACGATTAAAGTAGCATAAATTGGAAATACTCAAATAAAGTACAAGTATGACAAAATTGTACTTAAGGGCAGTACTTGAACAGATGTAATTACATTCCAGCACAGGAACAGAGTTTAGGTGACGGCGTTGGGTTAATTGCTGGGTTGGCTTGGCTTGCTAAAACAACATGGCTGCAAATGCAATATTGGCTGTATTTTTTCCTTTTTTACAGCATTTTGTAACAGGCAAGTACACAAAACAGATAAGCAGTAAGAAAAGGCAAACACATCCAAAAAGGGAGCAGGTAGGAGTGCAGAAAAATAAATCCAAAGCAGGAAGGCAGGGCAAAGGCTGGAACGTTATGGCCAGGAGGTGAATAAGGTGATGTGAGAAAGAGAGTGATGTTGTGGATCGGTGTACATACTAAGTGACTGATTAGAAGGAATGAGGGCTACAGTGGGTGTGCAGGCCGGGGATGGTGAGGTTGCAGGGAATGTCATTAAGGGCTGAGGGCAGCGGCTCTGGAAGGGAGAAACAGAGTTGTGAACGAGAGGAGATGTTGCTACGGTCTTAGTAGACGGACATGAATAATAAGCAGAATATGAACTAAGAAGAAGCGCAACCCATTACACTACATCAAACTGTATACAATCAACACAAATATCATATATAATGAAAAAGAAAGTAGAATGTTTATATTAGCTCTCATTAAAAAAATATAGAAATGCTACATGTCAGTTTTCAAGTTAATAAGTAGATCACAGCTTCTTTATTATACTATTAATATAGTTTAAATCACCGTTGGAAGACACGCACACCGACACGCACATGTTCACACCACCGTTTACTGCTATGTTGCTTTGATCAGCTATGTTTGTGATTGCATCCAGTAAGAACAGAGGGGCAAGCCTGCTATTACTGACATTAATGAAGAGGAAGAGGACTGTGGAACACACACACACATGCAGTAAAAACAAACTAATCACGCATCTACAT